TGAAACATTTAAGGTGGATAATTTGTTAGAGTGGTGGGCAGCCCATCGAAGCGAATTTCCAATTTTAGCAAAATTGGCAAAACGGGTATTGGCAATTCCTGCTTCAAGTGCAAGCTGTGAGCGGAATTTTTCCACTACATAATTTAAAAAAAATATCCGGTCCGGGCCTTATATTTTTAAATCTTAGCCGGGCCGTAAAAAAATTTTTTAAAAAATATCCGGGCCGGGCTTAAAAAATTTAAAACCGGGCCTACCGTGTAAATGGTACCTCTGCAGGTCTCTGATTGTTTCTATCTTGAATTATTGCCAATTTTTGAATGGCATATTAAATTACACAATTTTTTTAAAATAAATATTAAATGTTGGGGTGAGTAGCCCGTGCCAGTCCACCCCGATAAGAATTGATGATTATAAATTAAAATTGCGATATTTTTATTCGATGTCTTTTTTTCCCCCTATTAGCCAGATTTTTCAAATACAACATGGTTGAGAAATTTGGTTAGTTATTTCAGAACTTAGATAAATAATATTTTAAAAAAATGTAAATATTTTTACCTTTTGTTTAAATGTTAAATAATGAATTATTTGTCTGAAATTTTCTAAATAGAGAAATAATTTTAAAAAATTTATAAATCTAATGTTTAATAAAACTAAAAACCTTCGAATTAAGCTAAGCTATAAGTCAACAACAAAAACAATAATATATTTATTTACATAATTTATTAATTCAAAAAAAAAAGAAATTGAACTTTTCAAAAATTAATTTTATATTTGGAAGAAAATAAATTTAAAATTTTTTCATGAAAATTAGATTATTATTAAATTCGAAATATCTTTATTAATTAATATATTTTTTTTTAAATAATGGGCTTAAAAATAAATTTTAATTGTTCATTTCTTTATCGTGAATAATGATTAATAAATACTAAAAGGGTTATATTTAAAATAAATTTTAATTTTAATAAAATATTTTTTACCCAAATTTTTAATTTATTTTTGAAAATTACTATTAAAATATTCGAATAGAAAGGTAAAAAAAAAATAGAGTACATCATATTTTTTTAAAAAAAAAACTAAGTAAGAAACAGATCACAATTTATCAAGATATAAGAGCTATATAATTTAAGATATAATTGTCAATATTTGATTAATAATTAATTTTTTTGATATCAGCAAAAATTTGGGGAAGCGAAAATTCCCTATTCACCCTTTCGAGGGGGGGGGGGAGTGCAGATATTTTTGTATTAAAGAGAAAAGTTTTATTTTACCTAAATAATAATTTAAGTTTTTTTAAAAATATTGCAAAAAAAATAAGTTATATATAGATGTCACTCCAAGGTTGCTAAATGCCCAATTCGGCAGTTTTAAAAACGATCCGATTAAGATGTTAACCCTAAATTTTATTATATAACCCTGGAGATTTTGTTCATAGATTACATGAAGTGTTAGGTCTATTTGCTAAATCTCGATATGCCCAAAATCTTAATATGTTCCTTATTTAAAATTGACCACGTATGGAGAGCTTATCAACTAACTACTTCTTTCAGCCATATCAGGAAGGGTAGGAAAATTGATTGAAAGGGAAAAAGTATTCATTGCACTACTCTATCTTGCAATCAAATTAATCTGCAGATTTCATATTTTAAACACATATTAAATAAAGTCTACTTTAATAATTTTAATTATTTAAATGTTATTTTATCATTTTATGACAGCTTTTAACATAGGGAGTCAAAAAAGGTGACAAATTATTTTAAAACGTCAAAATGTTATTTATAAAAATATATATATAATTAGATAGATAATGTAGAATGTATATCTTGACCTAAGAAAATTTAATAATATTTTTGATAAAAGATACCCCCACCCCCCCCTTAAAAAATCTTGGATAAGCCAGTCATTAGTTAAATAAATGATCATAACAGAAGAAACCATTAGCCCAATCATTAAATAATATTAATGATTTATATTCGATTTCATTACATTCAAAATTAATATTTTAGAAAAATAATGGAAATTGTTAATAGATTTCTAAGTATAGGTGATGGTTTATACAAAAGTGGATACATGTCGGATGTCAAATTTGAAGTTAATTTAATAAATAAATATTTGTGTCACAAAATTATTAAAAATATAGGTGAAGGGGGAAATAATAAATGCGCATAAATTTATTCTCTCATATAAAAGTAGAATTTTTTACAACATGTTTCATGGCGGAATTGAGTTGAAAGATAGTTACATAAAAATCGAAGATATAAGTAAAGAAGCTTTTGAAATAATCCTGAAGTAATTTAAAATATAATCAAATGTTAAATATAAACTTTTATAATATAATAATATAAAAAAGATATATTTATACAAATGATACCAATTTTATGCCGCTTGATATCAATCAACTAATAGAAATCCTATATGGAGCTAAAAAATATATGTTTATGGATTTAATCACAAAGTGTCAAGAACATATTTATAGTTATAAAATAAGTCGAGATTGTGAAATGGTATTGCAACTATATTTGGTAACATCTATCCATCCAGAAATCAATCTCGATCGTTGTCTCGATGTAAGTGTTATTATATATTATATCAAATAAATTTGAATACCAAATAAATAGAAGCTTAAGGGGAATAAAACGTTCGTGTTTAATTCAGAATCATTCCTTAACGCGTCTGGTGATTTAATACGAAAGTTTATCTCGTCCCTACCTAATAAAAAATCGTCCATGAAACAAATGACTCGATTTCTCATTAAATGGGCAAAAAATGAATGTGACAAGTGCCAAATTCCCGATAACTCAAATAATATAATGCAAAAATTAAAAGATAACAAATTCGATTTTTTTCCCCATATTTTGGATTTCAGTAGCGAAGACATTATTTCAGTAATTCGCGAGCGAAAATTAATGGAAGACACTGAGATACTCGAAATTACTATTAAGAATATCAACATAGTGCCTGCCAACTTTTAAGGACCCAAGAAGGTGCTCGATATTAATATATTGAAATTAATCATTCCCCTATAATGCCAAAATGATTTTTATTCATTTTAAATAAATTTTATTAAATTCATAATATTTCCTTCTTGATTATTACTTTAAATTTCTAAATAAATAAATTTTTTTGGATTTATTATTGATGTAAATTTAATCTTATAATTATATATATTTGGTGTGTTAGCATAATTAAGAAAATCTTTATTTTGATCTTTCTGACAATTGTTTGGATCCCAAGTAATTTTTAGAACCCTCCATTTTTCTATTTAGAGATTAGTTTTTAAGATTTGATTTATAATAAATTTCACTTTTTCTTTGAGTATAAATTAATTTTTTTATAATAAAATATTGCAAGTCAAATAATTTTTAAAATGTATAAGGTTATTTGACAAAATTGTTAGAAAGATCAATTTATATCTAAAATTATTTAATCATTGTGTGGTTGTTTTCGTAACCCATAATTCTTAAAGTATATCTACATTATTATAGGTAGTTAGTTATCCTAGTAGAAATAACGATAAAGTCGCATGACATCCTAAAGATTTTTTTTTAATAATTGGAAGTTTTTATTAATTATACTCTAAATTTTTAAGATTTCATTAACAAAATGATTGGAAATAAATAATATAGTTTGAAAAAATCATTTATTTAATTTGTTGGCTAGTAACAAATTGTATCTACTTTTGGTGTCAATTCATTTATATAACACCCACCCCACGCATTTTATACTTTGAATCTCGTTGTTCTACTTAATCTCGAGGTATAAGGGCAAATATGAATATCCCGATAATAGATTTCATAAATATTAGACAAACCAGCTGGTGGGGCGCAGGGTAAATGACATTTTTAAGGATTGTTTTCAAAATCAAAAACAATTTTAGAATCGAGTAAATAAATTTAAAGAGAGATTATTAACGGCTCAAATATTTTTGCTCGAACGAGTAATTCAGACATACTCATAGCTTGGAATATGGTTATTTCTATCTTGAATCTATGAAGGACAATATTTTAAATGAATTATTGGCGAAGAAGCCTGTGCCAGTCTATACCACGATAAGAATTGCCATAATTAATAATATCTATTATTCAATTTAAAAAAAACATCTATTCTATTGTTCAATATTTATAAGTTTTCGCATCGCAACTTATATACATAAATGTGAAGAAGAAATGATTAAATTTTCAAACTTTTTCCTTTTCTAAGTATTTAAATTTTTTAAAAAATGCCATATTACTCCCGAACATTTATGTCAGATTTATGAAACATATGGTTGAGAAATTTGGTTAGTCATTTTATTTGAGTTGGATAAATAATATTAAAAAATATAAAATTTTTACCTTATATTTAAGTATTACAGAAAATATAAAAAAAATTTAAAATTATAATTATTATTTTAATGAAACCCAATTAAGCCAAGTTATAAGTCAACGCCAAAGGCAATAAAATATTTATTCGAGAGAAAATATGAACTCAATTTTAGTGTTGTTAAACGGCTCAATTTGAGCCGATTTTAAAAACGGCTAACTCAATATTTTATCCAGAAAAATATTATGCAAGCCTAAAGATTTTGCTCATAGATTGCACATAGGATTGAACATCTATTGGTGAAATCTCGAAGCTTATGCAATATTTTCCTGGCTATAATGTTGAGTTAGCCGTTTTTAAAAATGGGCTCAAATCAAGCCGTTTAATAACACTACTCAATTTATTAGTCCATTTATCTTCCAATATTTTTAAAAATTAATTTTATTTTTTGGAAAATTTTTATAAAAATAGGCTTAAAAATAAATTTTAATTGTTCTTTTTCTTGATCATGTGAGTAATGATTGATAAATAAATTATTGTGGGAGGTAATGCTAAAAGGGTTATATTTTAAATTCTAATTTTAATAAAATAAATATTAATTTTTCTGCAAATTATTGATTAAAATATTCGAATAGAAAAAGGTAAAAAAAAATTTTTTTTAACCATTTTATTGAATTTAAAATAATTATTTTAGAAAAATAATGATTGGTAGATTAAACATAGGTGATGGTTTATACAAATGTATCTACATGTCGGATGTCAGATTTGAAGTTTATTTAATAAATATTGTGCAAAATTGTTAAATATATAGGTGGAGGGGGAAATAATAAATGCTCACAAATTTATTCTCTCATTTAAAAGCAAAATTTTTAACGACATGTTTCATGGCGTAGTTGAGTTGAAAGACATAAAGATCGAAGATATAAGTAAGGAAGTTTTTGAAATAATCTTGAAGTAATTTTATATATAATAAATGTTAAATATAAACTTTAATAATTATATTCACATGAAAAAAGATATATTTATACAAATGATATCAATTTTTATTCGCTTGATGTCAATCAACTAATGGAAATCTTATATGGAGCTAAAAAATATATGCTTTTAGATGTAATCAATAAATGTATAGGTCATATTCAGAGTCATACAATAAGATACAATAGTGAAAAGGAGATATTACCACTATATTTGATATCATCTATCCATCCAGAAATCAATGCCGATCTTTGTCTAGATGTAAGTTTTATATAATATATCAAATAAATTTGATTACCAAATAAATAGATTCTTAAGAAGAAGGAAGCGTTCGTGTTTATTTCGAAATCTTTCCTTGACTCGTCTGTTGATTTAATAAGAAAGTTCATCACGTCCCTACCTAACAGTAAATCGTCCACGAAACAAATGACCCAATTTCTTATTAAATGGGCAAAAATTGAATGCGACAAGTGCCAAATTCCCGATAACTCTAATAATATAATGCAAAAATTAAAAGATAACAAATTAGATTTTATTTCCTACATTCTGGATTTCTGTAGCGAAGACATTATTTCAGTAGTTCGCGAGCGAAAATTATTAGAAGATACTGAGATGCTCGAAATTATAATTAAAAATATCAACACAGTGCCCGTTAACTTTTAAAAACCCTTAAAGAAGATCCTCGATACAATATGTTGAAATTGATAGTGTACCCTATAATTTAAAATATATTTTGTTAAATTTCTATTTCGAAATAAATAAGTTTAAATTTGGTGTGTTAGCATATTTATGAATTTTTTTACTCAAATAAAATGTAAAATTAAAATTAACGAAAAAATTATTCATGCATCATAATTCTTTTGCCTCGCTATACTATTATTTTGTAAATAAAAAGTCATTCTTGCTTCAAGAGACCCGTTCAGGAAATTGTTGATAAAAATATTTATCTTGTTAAGTCATGAGCTAATTTGTGTTAAATCATAAGCCGACTAACAAATTAAGAATTCTTTGATATATGGCAAATAGTTGTTTTTAAAGTCGGGAAGAAGGGCAATCAATTTTCTTACTATCATAAAAAAAATTTTTTTGACTAATACAAAATGGGGGTATTATAATTTACTAGAGTGTTATTTCCTAATGGGTAACATGTTTGAATACCATTTTTTAAAAAAAAGATACATACATAATGAATAAAATATTTGCTATTTAATTCTAATTCATCATGTTATTTAAAAATATATCTGCATTAATACAACCAATTTATTCAGATCAAATGAACAATATTACAATTATATACCAACTTAATCATCGTTTACAGAGTAGAGATTTACTAAGGCCAGGGGCCCCTACAATGATGGGGGTCCTTAGCAACTTCTTCAGTAAATTTGAGTGGGGGTACTTTTTTTTACATCCATCATGATCATGTGATTTCTGGTTTATAAATGTAACAATAAGACCCCCCCCCCCCACTTACTATATAATTTAATTTAATATATTGACGGAAATTTTGGTCGATGTTTAGTAAATTTGTTATCCGATATTTCTTGTCATAAATTATTTTTCCAATTTTAAAATATGCCTAAAAATATTAACCAATATTGACAATAGCAAAATTTCTAGAAATTGGATTACTTATAGTATTAAAATGTATAAAGTTTTTTGCTTAACATGTCTCTTATTTGGTGGTCCACACGCAAATACAAAATGTACATGTGAAGGTCTAGATAAATGGCAAAATATTAATCGTGATATTATTCTGCATGAATCTTTACAGGCACATATGATGGCCGATTATGGAAGGCTTACTCATAATAAAAATTCGATATTAAAATTTATAACACCTCAGAAAGAATGTGTAGATAGTAACCGTTCTATTATAAGAAATATAATAAGATGTTTAGATTATTTAATATCTCGTAACCAAGCCTTCTGGGGGAACATGCAACAACTTATTGCAGATTCTGAACCTATACTAAAAATGTATATACAGCAAAATGAAGAAAGAAAAAAAGGATAAAAAAAATAAGGGATTAAAAACGAAATTATATTCAAACCTATTATCATATAATAACATAAACATTCTCATTGAAACCATGAAAAATATGGTTATAAAAAAAATTCAAAATGAGATTGCATTTAACAGATGCTTTTCAATCATAGTTGATTCGAAATCAGAAGCAATAGCTTTGATAGTAAGATATGTTGAAAATAGTGAGACGCCGAAGCCTGTTGAAAGACTGATTGACATATATTGTACGGGAAATACCACAGGTCTCGATATAAAGCATAATATAATATCCAAACTTTGCTCGATGAATTTACCCCTTGAATATCTAGTTGGGCAAATTTATGATGGCGCCTCAAACATGAGTGGAAGAATCAATGGTGTGCAAGCCTTGATTAGAGCAGAGGCGCCAAAGGCAGCTTTTATTTGGTGTTATTGTCATCGATTAAATTTAATCGTTGTTCAATTATGCCAATCAATTAAAGAACTTCGAAATTTTCTAGGAATACTAGATGAGATTTATATCTATTTTAATGGTGTAAAAAGATATGAGGTACTCAAAAAATTTCAGTGTAATGATCTGAAAAAATCACAACGATTTCTACGCATCAAGAATACCACTCGGTAATAGTTCCTTATTTATTTAAATTTTATTTTATTTAGAAGCTTGCAATCGTCATATAAAGCTATTGTAAATGTTTGTCAACTTTATGATGCCTTAAGGGCAGCTTTAACAAATTTAAAGGATTCTGAAGATCCTGCCACTTCCACTATGGCTAGTGCTATAGTCTTTAGAATAGAAAAATTTGATTTTATCTTAACACTTGTGTTTTGGATAAAATAATAACAAGTTTGGCTTGTACAAAATTGCAAACCATTTCGAAGGATATAGGGTATGCAATAAATCAAATTCAATTGACAAAAGATTGCTTGATTAATTTGAGAAGTATAATATAAATTATTGTCTTAATTATTTTTTAATCTAATAGATAATAACACTAAATTTTTGGATGTTTTTTCAAAGGCGCAAGATTTTATGAAGGAGAGAAATCTACATTTTGATTTTGAAAGTTCTAGACTTCAAACATTACAATCCAAAAAGGAGAGGTATATATACTTTCATCATTAAATATAGAAATTTTTTTTAGCTTTAAAATAGGTGTGTTTTATGCTGCACTCGATTTATTTATTATGCAGTTTAACGAAAGATTTAATGATGATTCCATGAAATTTTTCATCAAACATCATTTTTTACGCCAAAGGGAATGGCAGAAAAATCAATTGTTAAAGAAGATATCTAGGATATCTGTGAATTTTACAATTTAAATTCAAGTCAAATTTTCGAAGAAATGTTGAAGTTTAGAAATATTTATAAGATGGCCAAAATGGGGAATGTAATTATTACACATGACCTAGAGGTTCAAGAATCTAAAGATTTGTCAGATTCTGAGAATCGTAAATTTATTTAATTAAAATACCAATACATTATTTAGCTTCTTCTGATGATGATGATAATTCAGGGACTTACGATTCAGATTGGAAAAACTATTCATTTATTTTACCTTATCGTTTACTTTTAAATTTTTCAGCTTTCCCTAATTTAAGAATTTTATATAAATATTTATTAACCATTCCCACAACCTCATGTACTGCCGAAAGAGTTATGAGTAAAATTAAATTAATTAAAACAAGACTGCGCAGTACCATGAAAGATTCTTTTCTCAATAATTTAACCATATTATCAATGGGAAAAATTTTATTTAAACAATTAAATACTGATGAAATTATAAATTCTTTCTCTCTTCCCCTAATTCATCTAAATTATTAATTTAAAAATAATATTTATAAAGTTATATAAAAATTGATGCAATAAAAATTATTTTTGAAATTTATGGGCGTCATAATTATCATTTTTTCGAATGGGGGGGGATACTTTTCGAGGGGGTACTTTTCATGGGGGTATTCCACTGACTAAGGCAGCTTAGAGTTGATTATATTTATATTTATATTATTAATTTTTAATTACATTTTTCTAACTAAAAATATTAAATGATATATAATTAAGACCAAGACTCCTTCAATAAACAATACAAGACATTAAATATTGTTAGTATAAATATTAATTATACTCTTCACAATATATATTATTCTAAATATATGTCGTGTTGGGATACAGAATCATGGGATTCGGAATTCTAACGTGGGGATTCGAAATCTTGAATACCCACGTTTTATTCGGAAATTCAAAAAATATTTGAAATCCCCATGAAAACTATTAAATTATATTTTTTTTTCTTCCTTTTTTTGCCGTCTGGCTGGCACCAGAAATTTCATTTAGAGATATTTTATTTGTTACAGTAAAATAAATGATTTAAATTTTTAAAAAGAATATTTAAAAGGCCAAAAAGAAGGGGTTAGAAGACATTTTTGTTTATAATTATATATATTTTGACAAGAATATATATTTCTAAAAAATCCTAATTAAAAAAATTATTTATTGCAACAATTATTCAATACAATATGAAACACTCACACCTTTTATTTATGCAACCCATTTTGCAATTGCATAACAATGTTTTCCCATCATTCGTGATCTTCCGAAGCCTCTAAATATTTTTAGCAGTTGAAATGAAAAATTAATATATTTTATGTACATGAATTAATTTCGGGAGTATATGAGGTTACTATAAAAATAGCTTAAATTACCTATGGATATATCTTTGTAAAATCATTTTTACAGTTTTATATATACTAGAGGCATTAAGAAAAGGTTAGTGTTTTTTTCCGGTCTGGCGATTCATTGTGCGCCTCGGCTGGTGGGTCCACGACCAATGCATTTAGAGTAGTTAGCAGATTTTAATAAGTGGACCCTTTGAATTTCTTCCTGGGATTGGTTTTACACTACCGGAAGCTGTTGTGCTTTTCTTAGGTGGTTTAGCCATAATTCGAGCATAGTACAAGAAAAAGATAACGCGAAATAAACAATTTTAGTTTACCACAAAAAAAGCGACGATAATATTTTAAATAAGTTGATAGATAAACTTTGAATAATAAAATAAAAATGCACTAAATCAATCATGTAAATTATTAGATTTATTTTTAGATAGAAAAAATTGATTATTTAAAGACATTTCTTTCAAATAAAGTTGGTATTAAATAAATATAAATATCGGTTATCGGGATCGGTTTGGTAATAACAATTGGATCTTATGGGGGGGGGAATTGGTGTATCTGCACAGTCCTATTTTTTATATTTTATTTTAAATTTTAAAAAACTAAACGATTTAAAGTTTGGGATGCACCACTCCAAATGACAAAAGTACGCTTTTTACTAATAAAGATTTTTACTATAATAATATCCTCAATTAAATGATCCCGTTACATAACTATTCAATATTTTCTTACGTTATTTATTATTTCATATAAAAGCATAATTTATTTAACGGGGGTCAGGTGTAGCCTAGAATTTTAGCAAGATAAATAAGAGATTAGTATTAAGTATAGTTGGGTAATTACTATATTTTTAACCGTTTAAGCTAATTTTTAACTGGGTAAATAATTGGCTAAGGGTTTTTCTTAAGAAAATGTCAGCTCAAATTTGAAAGAAACTAATATAAATTAAAACGCCTTAAGGTTAGCCTACCCATATGCGTTTGAAAATTTGATCCGATTTAGCTATTAAATTAGCCAAATTCTAATGCCACTTCGCTTTCACTGAAATATGTCAGCTAAAGTAGTACAAAAATGCTGATATCCTTTAAATATATTGGGTTACGAAAACAACCACACAATAATTAAATAATTATAGATATATATATTAATCTTTCTTTTAATTTTATCAAATAACAGTATACATTTTAAAAATGATTAGATTGCCTATTTGACGTATAATATTTTGTTATAAACAATTCATTTATCCTCAGAGAAGTAGTCAAATTTATCATAATTTTAAAAACTAATCTCTAATAGAAAATTGAAGGGTTCTAAAAATTATTGATTGGGGGGGGGGGGGGCATACCAAACAATTGCCAAGATATAAATTTTTTAAATTTAAATATATTTATAAATGAATGGACAAATATTCCCTTAGTTATTTAAACTTGGCTAAAGCTAAAATTAATATAACCCCCATTATTTTAATAGTCAAAAATATTATTTTTTTTAAATTTGGTTTATCATCTTTATTTGAGGACATTTGTGAGAGTATAAGCAGAGTTAAGCAGTACAGCGATTACTTGTATCTAAGATACAAGATACAAAATCCTTTTGTATCTTGTACTCAGTATATTTTTGAAATTTTTAATAAGATACTAGTATCTGTAACTAAGATCCTTTATTCTGAAAAGAATCTTGTATCTTTTTCATTTTCATTTCCTTGACAAAAGATACAGATACAGATTCTTTTTAATAATCATATTTAAAATTTTACATATCACAGTTTATATTTTATTTTCCTCGAGAATATTAGTTTTCTTATTTTTTTTCAGCCATATTTTAAATATGATGACAATCAAAATTAGCTGGAAAATTTACAACTCATATTAAGGTAGATAGATAAAAAATAACACCAAAACGAAATAAGTTAAGATTATATTATATATATAAATGTTAATCGATAGAATATCATTACCAATTTTATGTAATATTTTTTAATTTGTAGGATGATTATTACTCATGGTAGTGAAATTTAAATTACGGAATTAAGTTCACGTGAATCAAATCCCAATCTTAAAATTTTATATGAAAATATTTTAAAAATAAAAGTTAAAAAGACAATAACAGGCTAGATGTAAAACCTTTATATACAAAAAATGATAAAGGTACACAAATTTTGTTAAATATATTAGAGTATACTATTTATGTGTGGTTAAAAGGGGCATGAGTTATCTTATTCAATTTTAGAATATTCTACCTTTATTAAAGCTGCCAAGATGAGAAAGAAAGAAAGAATTTTCCTGTGATATGAATATAATGAGACTTTTTTGACATCAATATCAAATCCATATTTTAAGAACTTATGGATTGAGTCAGATGATAAAAAAAATACTTTCAAAATATATTAATAAAAGAAGCCCTAAATATAGTACCAGGTATATCAACAAGCTCAAACTATAACACCAATAGATTTAACATCTAATAAAGAAAATGATGATTATTTTTCTTTTGGTGAAACAAATGCTGAGTTCAATAATACAAATAACATTGAACTGGAGGTTTAAATTATATTAAAGAAAGTCGAAATATAATTACCCTTCCATTAAGGAAATAATTTATAAATATAATAATGCAATATTTATATCAGCTCCAATTGAAAGGTTATTTAGTTTTGGTACAATAAGTACGCCGAAACGACAAAAATGACAAATGATAAATTATTTAAAAATTTAATTATTTTAAAATAATGAATCTATTTTAATTACTCTTTTGCAAATTAGTATTTCAACTCCCATTAAAAATACTAGTCTCCCTTCCCTATCTATGCTAAAAATGGGCTATTATTATTAATATTATAATGTCTGACTATCATAATTAACTCATCATTAAATATTTTATTAATTATTGTAAATATTCATTCATATTATATGCGTGTGTTATGTTCTTCAAAAATAAATAATAAAAACTGTATTTTATAAAATATTCTAATTTAATTGGTAATGATAATTTAAAAGTATCTTGTATTTAAGATACTCTAATTAGGCAAAATATAAAAGTATCTTTTATTTTGTTTATTTTTGATATTTTGAAAAAGATACATTATCTGTATCTAAGATTCATTTTTCAAAAAGAATCTATATCTGTATCTAGATTCTTTTTCAGGAGGACTGCCCAACTCTGAGTATAAGTTATAGAAAATTTGAATGCTCTTTTTCCCGACTAAGTAATATAGACTTTTTAAATAAAAACCAGTTGACATTTATCATCGATTTTTTAATTAACCGGTTTCTTATGATTTGACATAAATTAGCTCATTTTCAACAATTTCCTGATCGGATATCGTTTAGTAACTTACAAAATACTATTGTAATGAAGCAAGAAATTTATGATGCATGATATTATCCATCTCAGTACTTCTTTAATTTAAATTTTCCTTTGAATTTGAATAAAAAATAAATAAATATACACCAAGTATATTATAATTATAATTACATTTACAGCAATAAAATAATCCAAATATAATTTATTTATTTCGAAATTTAAAAGATATCATCAAGAAATATATAGGGTATGATCGATTTCAATATATTCGATCTTATTTAAAAGGTCTTTAAAAGTTGGCAGGCACTTTGTTGATATTCCTAATCGCAATTTCGAGTATCTCAGTGTCTTCCATTAATTTTCGCTCGCGAACTACTGAAATAACGTCTTCGCTATTGAAATCCAAAATGTAGGAAAAAAAATCGAATTTGTTATCTTTTAATTTTTGTATTATATTATTTGAGTTATCGGAAATTTGGCACTTGTCGCATTCATTTCTTGCCCATCTTATGAGAAATTGAGTCATCTGTTTAGTGGACGAATTTCTATCAGGTAATGACGTGATAAACTTACGTATTAAATCAACAGACGCGTTAAGGAAAGATTTTGAAAGAAACACGAACTCTTCCTTCTTCTTAAGAATCTATTTATTTGGAATTCAAATTTATTTTATATATTATATAATGAAACTTACATTGAGACAATGATCGACATTGATTTCTGGGTGGATAGATGATACCAAATACAGTTGTAATACGTCCTTTTCACGATCTTGAGAATAACTACTAAATCTTTCTACGCATTCTTTAATTAAATCTTCAAGCATATATTTTTTAGCTCCATACAAGATTTCTATTAGTTGATTGACATCAAGCGAATAAAAACTGATATCATTTGTATAAATATATCTTTTTTTATGTGAATATAATTATTAAAGTTTATATATAACATTTATTATATATAACTTCAAGATTATTTCTAAAACATTTTTACTCATGTCTTCAATCTTTATATAACTAATTTTCAATTCAACTCCGCCATGAAACATGTTGTAAAAAGTTTTACTTTTAAATGAGAGAATAAATTTATGCGCATTTATTATTTCTCCTTTCACCTATATATTTAACAATTTTGTAACATTACTATTTATTTATTAAATTATTAACTTCAAAGCTGACGTCCGACATGTACATATTTTGGTATAAACTATCACCTATGTTATATCTACCATAAACCATTATTTTTTCTAAAATAATTATTTTAAATGCGATGAAATCGTATTCAAATCAAAAATATTAATTCGTAACTAATGGAATATTATTATGGTTGGACCTAATGTTTCCTTCTGTTATGATCGTTTATTTAATCATAGGCTAGCTTATCCAAGATTCTGTAAGAAGGGAAGGCGAGAAGAGGACCCTTGACCATACTGACGGATTCTCTAATGACGCTAGTGAGATTAACCCTCTATCATCAATTTTAATTATATATTAGACATTTTAAAATAATTTGTCATCTTTTTTTTTGACTCCCTTGTCAAAAAAAAGTTGTCATGAGACGATAAAATAACACTGAATTTTTAAAATCATGAAAGTTAGACTTTATTTAATGTGTTTCAATTATAAAATTTGCAAATTAATTTGATTCTAAAGATAGAGTGTTGCAATCGATTTTCCCTTCTTTCATTTTTTTAAAATTTATACGTTTCCCGATATGGTTGATAGAAGTGGTAAGATTTCTTAGTACTCCATAGGGGTCAATTTTTAATGATTAGCTTAAGATTTTGGAAATAAATGTTATTTAAGCGTCGAGAGTTGACAAAGAGACACCCTACCCTTTCTGTCATCTATTATAAAAAAATCTATCTCCAAGGTTATACAATATTATTTTGGCTAAAATCTAGTGTTGCTAAAATACCTCTCCTTAGTCAACTATAAAACAGCGTGGTCATATATTGATCCAGAAATATTACAATCAATATTCAAGGTGAGGCTCAACTTAGAAGCTTAATTCAATTTTTTAGTCTAAAAGCTTGACAAAATAGAGATGGAATAAGGTAATTTAACAACACTACTAAAATTTTAATCGAAACGTTTTTTAAAATTCGCCCTAATAGGGCTTTTTAACAACATTGTTTTTTGCAATATTTTTAAAAAAACTTAAAAATAAAAATTTTCACCGTAACATAAACAAGATAATCCAGGCACTAATTAAGGAGGGAATTTTCGTTCCGGACATTTTTTGTTGTATCAAATAATATAAATAAATTAATAATCAAATATTGACAATTATATCTTAGTACTACTAAGATATTTGTACGGCCCGTATTTTTTTTTCCGGCCTGGCTCGGGTTTTTTTAAAAGGAAAATTTTAGGCAGATTTTTTAAATATATTATATTTATTTTTGATTTTTAAGTATATATGGTCAAATTATAGTTCTTATATTGATAAATTGTTTATAAAAATGATTTATTACTTTTTTTTTAACCTTTCTATTCGAATATTTTATGAATAATTTGGAAAAATATAAAAATTTTCCTAATAAAAATAAATATTAATTTTTATTTAAAATTAGAATTTAAAATATAACCCCTTATACCATTTACCACCACCCACAATAATTTAATTATCAATCATTACTCACATGATCAAGAAAAGAACAATTAAAATTTATTTTTAAGCCCATATTTTTTACAAAATATCAATTAATAAAGAAAAATTTAGTAATAATCTAAATTCATGAAAAAATTTATAATTTGTCCCTTCAAAAATAAAATTCACTATATTAATTTTTTTTTCTTCAATTAATTTTGGAAACATAATAAATTATATAAATAAATATATTATTGTTTTTGTTAACTGCTTAAACTCAGAGATTTTTAGTTTCATTAACATAGTATTAATTATTATATAATTTTAAATTTTTTTAAAAAATATTTTCTGTTTTTAGAGATTTCCAAGAAATTATTTATTATTTGATATTTAAATAAAAGGTAAAGAATATTTACATTTTTTAAAAAAATATTATTTATCTAAGTTCTGAATTAATTAACCAAATTTCTCAGCCATTGTTGTATTCGCAAAATTTGACATAAATAGTTAGGGACAAAAAAAACACCTAATAAAAATATCGCACAATTTTAATTTAAAAAAAAAATTTTAATTCTAAAATATTTTTGAAATTTATCATACCTTCATTTATATTAGGAAATGATGGATAATTTATTTGACGGTCACAAGGAAATAGGCCCAGCTTTGTACAAAAATTTATTCTTGTCCGATGTCAAATTTGAGGTAAAATTGCTATAATTTTCCACATAATATGCCATGATTTTATAATTTATAGGTGGAAGGAAAAATCATAAATGCTCATAAAATAATTTTGTCATGTAAAAGTGAAATGTTTTATACCATGTTTAATGGAAGCTTGAAGTTGAAAGATAGTTTAGTACGGATTGAAGATTTAAGGAATTGCATCTTTGAAATAATCTTGGAGTAATTTTCTACTCAATATATAATATATAAAATTTGAAATAACCAGAATTGTGACCCATCATCTTTCTCTCTTTCGATACACTAAAATTATTTTTAAATAATTAATTAGAGCATTCCATGCAGACCTGTATCGACCATGATATTTTGATCAGGCCCGCAGTAAAATTAAATTTATAGTACCCCTCCCATATTTAAAATTAAAAATAGATTACCAAGCCAGGCCCAACCTCATAATAAATTTCAAAAATTTTGGCCAAATTAATATTTAAATTTTATTCAATGTAAATGAAAAATATTTCAGTGTATTTAGGCAATCATTTAGTTTGCAATGCCGCGATTTATTATTAAGAAATAATAAAATTTTGATACTTAACGGTTCGAAACCCTGCCTAGGAATGAATTTCGTAAATTAAGTGACTTGAATAACAATTATCATTGTAATATCATTAATAAATAGATATATTTATACCAATCAATTTTATCCATATTCGTATGAACTTGATACTCTAATAGAGATCTTATATGGAGCTAAAAAATACATTCTTAAGGATTTAATCCGAGAATGTGTTGCTCAAATAAATAGTATGACTACAGGCTATGAAAAGGGATTAAAACTATATTTAATGTCATCCATATTTTCAGAAATCGATGTTAATCAATACCTCAAGGTAAATTTTTATTATTTACTTAATAAAATAACAATTTATAGATTCTTAAAAAAGATTGTGAAACGTTCGTGTTACTATCGAAAGATTTCCTAAACGCACCTATTGATTTAATACATAAATTTATAACATTTGATGATAAGAAATCGACATTGCACTCGAAGCGAATAATTTGTGAATTTTTGATTAAGTGGTCAAAAAATGAATGTAGCAAGTGTCAAATTCCTGACGATTCAAAGAATATTATCTGCAAATTATCGGAATTGGATTTGATGTCCTACATACTAGATTTCAGTAGCGCGGTCATTATTCAAGCAGTTCGTGAGCGCAAGTTACTAGAAGACATGGAGATGCTCGAAATTATAGTTAAAAAAAATTGATATATTAAAAAAAAATCTTTAATTGTGTCAAATTTAATATTAAAAATATTGTCAATTTAATTTGAAAAATTGATAAATTTTAGTAGCTACCAATACTATCTTGTTAAAAATAATTATAAAATGTAATGATATATGTCTACAATTAAAATATTCTATAATAAATATGAATACATTATATTTGTAAATTGGTGTAATATTTCATTTTCCGTATTCATTAAAATTGAATTTTAAATAATTAAATCAGAGTAGAGGACATAATATTTTGAGCCGGGCTTAAAAAGAGTTTAAGAATTATTTTAATTATCCAGATCGGTTTAAGTTAAATTAATCAGTTAACATTGGCTCCTATTTAATCACTTACACTTAAATATTCGGGGAAAAAAACATCATTAAACGATCAGAATAAATATTTTACGCTTTGAAAAATAATGAAGGAATTATTTCTTAATGCTCAGATAGATAAAAAAAACTAAATTGTACAGAAAAAACTATCAATTGCTCAGATATAAAACTGAAATGTCAGAATCAAATGAATCACCGAGGAAAAAAAATATATGAAATAGAAAATTGTTCTAAGTTTTAAGAAAAATATCTGGAAAATGCTTTAGATATATTATTTATTTCTGAGCATTTCAGTTTTTATTCAGAGAGATTAGCTTTCTCGCTATTTATAAAGTTCTTGAAATGTATTTTTAATCTTACTAATAATATCTTTCATTTAAATTAGGATTAGGATGAAGCAGAATTTTAGAAAAAAATACGGACCTGGCCTGGTGGATTTAAATCATGGGTTGTGTTTTAAATTAAGAAAAATATTTAAATCTGAACCGAACATACATTTGAGCTATGCAAATATATGATAAGATAAATACAATTTCAAGGAAATGGATTTAGGTTCTTTTGTTCCCATTTAAAAAAAATAAAATAGAATAAACTCGAGCACCCTTCAATTTATAGTATTATAGCTATTAAGGTGTAAATAAAAGTCAAGCGTTTTTGCTATTTACCGACGACCCTGTTCAAAATGGCTAGACCCTCGGGGTAAGATGGCAAATATAAAATTTTAACACATAATTATTTGCAAATAATAAATATTTTTTAAAAAAAATTAATCTTTACTATATGGGCACACATAAAAGAGATTCCCTAGAATAATGAATATGGCCATTCGGGACATTTGGTACACTTTATCCAGCACATCACTCAATTCCAATTTTTTTAAATTATATTCTTTTATATATCATTTAACCCCTCGTCATTAAGCCCCGGGCTTAAACGGCTCCAGAAAATGGGTCAATTAAAAAATATGGACCTAGTTTTCGATAATTTAAACATTGTGAAATATCTAGTATTAATTTTATAAAATTTTGAGAAACTGGGGGTCCACTACAATTATTATTTACGCTATTAATTTATGACTGAAAATTTTAGCCTAATATAGATAATTAAGTTACATGATTGGTTTACAAAGATTTGAAAAATATGTTGTATAATAATTATTAAAGAGGAAAATGTGTTTAAACATAAAAGTAACAATGAATAATTTCGAACTTTATCATTTAGATTTATAAATATGGCATTTAAAATCTTAATAAATAAATTTAGGAAAGTTTAAACCCTATTCTTGAATCTGATATTTTTTCAGAATCATGAAACATATACTAATATGATTCTGAATGAAATTTATAAAGTTACTGGTTTATGTCATGGTTGGTTATAGGATAGTTGGCTCTATTAATTATAATTACATATTTATATTCTTATTTTGATTAGAACAAATATAAATAATTTTCAATGGATATTATATTTATCAATCTAATATATTAATTTTTAATATAATATAATATACTTTAAATAATATTTTATTTTTAAATTATTAAAATATTTGAATTCAATTTAATTTTTTAATATAAGTTAAAGCCTCTAGTGTTATAACTATATCAAGAAAAAAATTTACATTTAGATCTCTATTACCCCAGAGTAGAGTTATTAAAAAGTCCGATTTGGGTCGATTTTTAAAAACGGCCCTATTGATTTAAGCCGAAATAATATTGTGTAAGTCTCAAGATTTGGCAAGTAGAAACCCAAAACTTCTGCCATACACGAGCAGAACTACCAGGATTACACAATATTATTTTGGTTCCCGAATCGGGCTTTTTTAACAACACTAACCAGAGTATGGCATGGTTAAATAAATTTTTTCAGATTCAATTTTTTCAAAGAAATATAGTTTCTATATTAACTATTCCCAAATAGCCTTTACTTTTATGATTGGCCTATTATAGAATTTATTAAGATTTGAAAGAAAAACGTTTCAACTACCCCTCTTCCTTAACCTTTTCCTCAAAGCAAATAATACTTATCAAAAAAGTGTGAAAAGATGGATTTGTTTTTGAGTCCCTTCCTTCCAATTTAGGCGCCTTTTACGAAATTCAGATGATAGCCAAAAAAATAATATCTACACCTTGAGATTTTGCATAGATGGCAGAACAATTTTGCCCAGCCAAATCTAGAGGCTTGGGTAATTTATTTTTTAGCAATCTTGATTTAGGTGTTTTTTTTTAAAAAAAAAGGCTAAGATAATGTTAAAGGCCATATTACCCATACTTAATTTTTAAATATAAATATCCGCACCCATCTCATGCGCACTCTTACTAAGGTCGACCTGACGATTTTTATAAAGTCTTGAAAATCTTATTTTTTTATAAATTTTAAAAGGTTTATTTTCTGATTGAATAAAGATATTTATTAAAACATTCATAATTTATAACTTTTCAAAAAAAAAACACCATAGTCATATTTAGAAATTAAAGATTAAATCATGCTAAATTTTTCAATAAATTTTTATACTATATAAAAACCAACAATAAAATATTATACAAATTCATCATTATTTTAAAAAATCAAAAATCATTTTAAAAGATTTTGTTTCTAGCTAAAATTTCTTATTTCTTTTATAAAATTTAAATTTGGGCATTTTAACGTCAAAAAATTCAAATAGAAATTACTTTTTTGTGAACAAACTGTTCGAATCGTCTCTGGTTGAGGTACATTGAAAAAATCAACAAAAAATACTGTTATTTTATAATTTAAGTCTTAAGCTTCTTTCGGCGCAGGCAACTAGGAAATTCTTTTAATGAAATATTTCTTAAAAAAATAAATTTATAAGTGTAATGTCCTATAAAAAAATAATCTAATTATCTTGTCACTGTAAATCCTGCTGGCTCTTATATGATGCCAACCATTGCCCATTAGACCTTAGTTCACTCATATTTTCGGTATAACCTCTCTCCCTTTCGCGCCCATCGAGATTATTTGTCATAATTTTTAATCAATTAATTTTTATATTTAAAGAAACTAATGGTTGGTACTTAGAGATATTAATTTATAAAACATTATTTATTATTTCGTATTTTATCATTAACCTGTCAAAATCATTATTTTATTATATCAAAATGTCAAAATCATTATTTTATTATATCAAAGTACAAGTATTTTTTGTTCATGGTAAATATTCCGTGCGCGAAATGTTTAACTTACCTATGACATCTGATGTTGAGTAATTCTTTTTTCTTTTAGGAAACATGTGATTTTTCTTTACTGCTTGATTATATCTAAAATTATTAGTAATTACTCTCATTCCAAAGCTAAGAGTAAAAATAGGGCAGGCCAATATATAGTTAAAGCAACCTTATACAATTAATTTAAACTTAATTATTTTTATGGTAAAAATTGATATTTATTATTTCATATAAAAAAAATTAAATATGAAAATCCGGGGTATGTTTTAACCTTTTTAGTACGATACTGTTTTTTAGCGTCTCTTATTTATCAAATTAAACACTATCTAACAAAACGTTAAATTACATCTATGTAATTAGCATTGAGTTCTAAAAAAGAGAACTAAATCAATATTTTTAAGCCTAAAAAAATTTTTCTGATAGTTTGCACACAAATTTGGACATTTATTAGCAAAACCTCGAGGTTTAAAAACAATAATTTTCTGGGCTAAAATATTGAGTTAGCCTTTTTGTAAAATACATCTCAAATCTAGCTGTTTAACAAAACACTAATTGTAATTTATATATTACAGATGGGTCAAAAAAAAATTAAAAGTGTAATTTGCAAAAAAATTTAAGCCCATTTTAATAAAATTCGAGACCATGAGTACTTAAACATAATTTAATAAAAATCAAACGATGAAAGTATTTATTTTCAGGTCTAAATATTTAAAAAAATGGGTTCTTGTAACTCTTTTAAACTTCATGAGATTCTTAGATTTCTGGTTCCAGTTCTAAAATCTGTTGAAGTTAACTTAAAAAAAAATTTAAACAATGAATAAACCCTCTAAAATGAATCACTCAACATTTTAAACAATTTTATAAATTGCTTGTATTGTGTGAGAACATGTACGGTTACTGATTGTTAAGTAGGCTTATTCAAAAACGAATTCGAATCGAATAGTGCATAACGAATCGAATAATTTATTATTCGTACAAATTATATCTACTATTTGTATTCGATTCGAATAATTGAAATGAATTATTTTAATAAAAATATATCATATTCAAATATATTGACAAATTTTTTTATTGCAAATTTGATTTAAAACAGAAAAAATGATTATAATATTATAATATGTAATCAATAATATGATGATAAAAAATATGTAATGCAAGTTATAAACAAAATTAAAATGTATATCATTAATTTAATTCTTAATTCAAAGCTAATATTTATGGCAAAGAGTTTTTCTTATATTATCTTCCTTATATGACATGCGATTTTTTTTTGACAACAAATTAGTTACAACTAAGAAAAGCCTTTCACAAGTAGTTGATGTTCCTTGCATAGATAGGTAATCCCTAGGTGGAATGAAACCCATCATAATGATTAATAAGAGGGGATGTTGTATGCCTTTACATTTTATAATGCTCTTGCAATGATTGCTATCAGCCTTTTCATCGTCTTTACTGATTTGATATTGATCCCATCTTTTTGTGAGGAAATTTTGCCAACTTCAACATCAAGCATAACTATTTCATCAGAAGCATTCTCCTCTAACATAATTAGGCTACTAACATTAATTTATTGTGAGATGTATTATATTTTTAATTACCTTTGGTTTGTGTTATTTTTTTAATATAATTTATTATGAGACTCAAAAAAAATAAACTTCTCGTGAGATTCGAAAAATAGGGAAAATAAAAATTTAAATATGGGTTTAATTTTCATTTCAGAGATTTTTTAGATTTGTGCTAGTCTTTTTATAAACACATTACCTGTCAGATTGGCAGGTTATCAAATAATGATGACAAATATTAGATTTATTAGAAGCAATTTATTAAATAAATATCCCGAATAATTCGTTTTATTCTAATCGAACAAATAGTTATTCGTATTCGAATAAAACAAATAATTTATTATTATATTGTTAAGTGTCATATCTCATCATAGGCGTCTAGGATTTTCCGATAGGAGGGGATGAGCACTATTACATGTAGTTTTCAGCCATATTCTATATATTTCTCTTTAATTATTTATTTTTATTTATGTTCTATGAAATAAACAATATGAAAATCTAACTTTATCTTTAATTTAACTATTCTAATTTAATAAATAACGATCAAATTGATTTTTAGTAAAAAAAAATATCCTAAATTACCATTAATTAGCGAAGAATCAAATTTATTGTATCTTTTTTTATATTTTTAATAAGAGAAGATTTCTTGTCTATCTAAGTACATTTTAAAAAAGGATAAGTACAACTCTATATTAACGTTATTTTTTTTTATCGTTAAAATAATATCAATATATATTTCATAATTGGGAGAGAGATAATTCCTAAAAAAGGTTCTAACATTTTTTTTAGAGGTGAGGGAAGAGTTAATTTAATAAAAAAAATAGGTGATTTTTTTATCCTGGGAAATATCTTCCATGATTTTTAAAATTATGGGCAAAAAATATTTGAATTTTTTATTACGAATAACGATATATTGGAAATATTTTAAATCAGTCATTTTTTAACTATTTAATCTAATATTTTATACGTGGTAGTTCCACCAATTTTTTTTAACAATTATAATTGCATAATATTCCTAAATGAATAAATTTTGAAAAAAAGCATACAAAATATAGTTTGATTTAAAATTAAATTTATAGGATGATAGAGTATGTTAAGCTTGACGATGATTTCTATTGGCAAGTAATGCGAAATTTTTTTTCAATCAAAATTTTAAGTATTTCGGTGTCATCTAATAATTTTTGTTCACGAACTAAATCAATCATGGCTACTAGATCGGAATCTAAAATGTAGGAAATGAATAGGTTATCCGATAATATGCACAAAATATTCTTTAAATCATTGGAAATTTGGCGCTTGCAACATTCATTTTTAGCCCATTTAATGAGAAATTCAGAAATTTCCTTTGTTTTCTTATTAGTATTGGCTAAGGATGTTATAAAATTTTTTATTAAAGTAATAGGTGAGTTAAGGAAACCATCCGAATCAAATACGAATTTTTCATTTTTCAAAAGGGTCTAAATATTAGTATTATTTATTAAGTAATATTAAAATTACAGAATAATATTTAGTAGCTTCGATTTCTGGATGGATTGCTGATGCCAAATATATTTTTAATGCATTTTCAGCATTAGTAACCTGAGTAATATGTCTTCCATAATTATCATACTGAGTGTATCCTCTAAAATAATTATCATACTGAGTGTATCCTCTATCATAATTATCATACTGAGTGTATCCTCTAAATATATTATCATACTGAGTGTATCCACTATCATAATTAGCATACTGAGTGTATCCTCTTAATTTATTATCATACTGAGTGTATCCTCTATCATAATTTGCTATTTTTATAATACATATATCGATCAAATCTTTAAGCATATATTTTTTAGCTCCGTATAAAGTTTGTATTAGTGAGTCGAGATCATTTATAGTATCAAAAATATGAGTGTACATATATCTTTTTATATATTTTTTTAAAATAGTGATTACATATATTATTATATATAAAATTACTTCAAGATTTTTCCAAAAACGTGTTTACTTAGATCTTCAATCTTTATGCAACTATCTTTCAATTCTATGCTGCCATGAAACATGGTATAAAACATTTCACTACTGTATGATAGAAGAAATTTATGAGCATACATTATTTCTCCTTCCACCTATAAAGTAAAAAAAAAGATAACCAATGTAATTTGTTATACATAAGATAAGATTAAGAATTATATAATTTACCTCAAATCTAACATCAGACATGTAAGAATTATTGTATAAATTTGTTCCTATAGACACATCTTTTATAAATGATTGAAATTTTTCCATTATTCCTAAATAAATATTTTTTAAAAATAATAATATTAGATAAATGTCACCAATATTGGTTCGTTTGTTCCCATTGTGATAAAAATAATGTCCCAAAGTTAATTGTATTAGTTTATATAACAAAGAGACAGATTATTTATTTTTTGTTTTTTATTAATAAAATATATTAATATTTGCCAAAAAAAAATATATACCATCGTTAATTTCAATCAATTAAGTTATAATAAATAAGGCGGAGTAAATTTCATAGGAAAAATTTCAAGCTTGCGAATTAAAAAAGCTCAAATAAAGCATTTTAGCAACATTTTCTGATATGCTTCAATAAAAAGTATCGCAAAAAATAATTCCCGCAAAAGTAATCAAAAGCATTAAAATTAACTAACTGATATTTTTACCTTATTATATTAAAAAATTTTGGACAATTTAAGAATTTAGATTTTCAAGAAATGAATTTAAAAATAACTTAAAAAATAATTTATTTTTTACCTTATCAGTTCCTATACGAATATATTTGATCACCAATATTTCCACAAATATATAGATAAAAACAATTTTTTTAGATTTTTTATTATTTTTAAAAATAAATGATATACCCTCTGAAAAAAGAATAAACGATATCCCCTAAAAAAAATTATCCAATACATTCGAAATTTATTTAAATTTTATAAATTATGATACATCAAAATGAAAAACAATAGAATTAAGACTAATTTTTGACTTAATAGAAATTATTACGGAATTAAAATTATTCAAAAATAAACAACATATTTTCTCGCCATATTCATTTTATTTCCTGAGGGGTCGGCCATTGACGGAAACGTTCATCGAAAAATTATGACCAAAATTTCAACATTATATTTCTAATTGTAAAAAAAAAATTAAATATTTTCGATTTCAAAAATTTGTACTCCACTAATAATAATCAACAAATATAAATATCTTGAATTATTCAAAAATTTAATTATACAATCTTTTTGGATTTTAACATTTGATGAATAATATGTTCCAAAATCACCATTTTGCCAGAAAAATATTCCCTATTTGAGATTTAGATAAGATGTCCAAGTCTTTCATCTATCAGAAAAATATTCAGGCTTGTGCAATATTTTTTTTGATGATGTATAGTTATCCATTTTTAAAAATCAAACGAGCCTTTTAACAAAATTAGCTGATATGCTTATAAAAAAAATATTGCAAACAAATAATTCCCGCAAATGAACTAAAATTAACTGATATTTTTATATTTAAAAATTTTGGACAATCTTTACAAAACCTTCTTAAAAATTTAGATTTATAAAGAAATTTTTTAAAAAAAATTAAAAAATATTGTTTTTAACCTTATAATTTTTATGTGAATATATTTAATCACTAAAATGCACAAATATATAGAGATAAAACAATTTTTTAGGTTTTTTAATTATTATAATAAAATAAATAATGTACCTTCTGAAAGGTAACAGACGATATTATCCCCTAAAAAAATATCCAATATTAACATTCAAAATTTATTTAAATAAAAATTCATAAATTATGATACGAATCAAAATGAAGACAATAGAATAAAAAAATTATATTATATATTTTCTTTTTTTTGCATTAAAAACAAATTACTACAGTATTAATTATTGAAAAATAAGCAATACATTTTATCACCATACTCACTTTAATTCCTGTGCACGGTGAAATCCCTATTTCCTAACCTCATAGTATTTTCCATCCTGTGTTTATCATTCTGGTCGCCATTTTAAAAACATCGAAAAATTATAATCAAAATATCAACATTATATTTCTATTGTAAAAAAAAATCTATACACTACTGATAATAATTTATAATAATCAAACAAAAACAAATATTTTGAATTATGATTTAAATTCAAGCACAATCTTTTTGGATTCAATTTTTTGATAAATAATTTGTTCCAAAGTCAGCATTGATTTATGTATTTTTATACGGCATTGGTCAATTTTTATTTATTTATTCACGTTTTTTTTGTAGCAAATTAATTACGGGAAAAAATTATGCCGTTTTTTCCCTAGACTAGTCTATTGTCAAACGACAAGAAAATTTGTTTCCTTTTTTTTGTGGGGGATCAAACTTTAGTTTTCTGGGCTGAAAGAAAAAACTATAGATTATTACACAGAAATTGTTTATTCTGTAGTTTAAAGATTTGTTTCAATATAAAAACTTATACTTTTATTTTTAATAACCTTTTTTTAAATTATAAATCAGGAAATACATGATCGAATATGTTCAATTAGTTAGAAAGGTAAATATTGTACCTAGTTTTTCCACATCGTTTATTTCTATCAAGTTACGTCATTACACTAACCTTTTTAAAAACTTTAAGAGCAATTTTTTTGTTACCTCCTAGATATCTGCCTCTCTTATATGAATATGTTTTCAGAATTTATTAATTAATAAGATCTCATCTAAAAACAAATAAAAAGTCAAATGATCTTTGTATTCATGTCGTTGAATAATGAAATTAGTTTAATTTAGCTTATTATGCTAGACCTAAGTCTTCGCTACCAATTAAAAATGTGCTTATATAAGTCTTTTAATTAGGTAAATTAAACAAACAAACGTGATTTTCGTGTCGCGTATGCGATTTCAAAATTTTATCACTTAATTAAAAAAATTATTCTCTAGGATTGGTTAAACCTAAAAATATCACTTATAAAACTTATTGCTTTAAAAAGCCTCGATAAAATAATATTTTCATATATTATTTCGCACTAAACTTTTAATTTGTTATGTGAAAGTAAACTAATAAATTTATATAAAGTGGTCACATAATCTCTTTATTGCAGTAAGGAATTCCTTATAAACCCACGAGTTGAAGAGTTTATCTTAAATACCTCATCGACTTTATTACCTATTTTGTGAAAAAAAATTGCAATACACAGTAAATTATTTATCCATCTTAGTAAACATATTTTAATTTAGATATAAGGTTATCACGCTAAATGAATAAAATTAGCCCTATTTATATATAATAATAAATATAGTAATTCCCTTAAATTATTTATTTTTTAATGAAATGGACAATTCATAATTTAATTATATCTCTAATTTAACTATTCTAATTTAATAAATATCGATCAAATTGATTTTTAGTAAAAACAATCTAATATACTCCTAATTAAATTAGGAAAAGATCAAATATGCTTTTTTTATAATTTTACAATATAAAATTTCTTGTTATCTCTGTTTAAGTACATTTTTAATAGGACTTATATAGCTCTACATAAAAGTTAATTCTTTATTCATCTTTAATATCAATATATAATAATTGATAATTGCTATTTGCAGGTAATTCGAAATCTTTTTTCAATCAAAATTTTAAGAATCTCCGTGTCATCTAATAAATTATGTTCACGAACTATATCAATCATGTCCACTAGATCGGAATCCATAATGTAGGAAATAAATGGGCTATCCGATAATATGCACAAAACATTCTTTGAATCATTGGAAATTTGGCGCTTGCAACATTCATTTTTAGCCCATTTAATAAGAAATTCTGAAATTTCCTTTAATTTCATTTTACTATTGGCTACGAGAGTTATAAAATTTTTTATTAAAGGAATAGGTGAGTTGAGGAAACCATCCGAATCAAATACGAATTTTTCATTTTGCAAAAGTATCTAAACATAGTTATTAATTTTGAAGTAATATATTAAAATTACAGATAAATATATAGAACCATTGATTTCAGGATGAATTCCTGATGCCAAATATATTTTCAATGCATTTGCATTCTGAATTACCTGAGAATTAAATTCTACATTTTCTTCTTTATAATTATCCCACTGAAAAGTATATCTTAAGTTATTATTTTTGTGCATTTTTATTATTAGTAACCTGAGTAACGAATCCTTCACATACTTCATCATTAATCAACGGAGGAGTGTAACCTATACTATCATAATTATTCAACTGAGAAGTACATCCTCCATTAATATCATAATCTGTGATTTGTTCAAGACATATTTTGATTAAATCCTTAAGCATATATTTTTTAGCTCCATATAAAGTTTGTATTAATGAGTCAAGATCAATTGTGTGAACAAAAATTTGAGTATACATATATCTTTTTATATTCATTTTTTAAAATAGTTATTACATATATTATATAGAAAATTACTGCAAGATTTTCCTAAAAGCGTGTTTACTTAAATCTTCAATCTTTATGCAACTATCTAATCCTATGCTGCCATGAAACATGCTATAAAACATTTCACTCTTCAATGAAAGAATAAATTTATGAGCATACATTATTTCACCTTCCACCTATAAATAACTTGTTATACATAAAAGAAGATTAAGAATTATACAATTAACCTCAAATCTAACATCAGACATGTAGGAATTATTGTATAAACTTTTTCCTATAGTCATATTTTTTTCAAATGATTTAAATTTTTTCATAATTCCTAAATAAATATCTTTTTAAAAAAAATAATAATATTAGTAGATATCTTAAATGTCATTGGTTAGGTTATTCCCGTTAAAAATAATTTTCATAGTTGAGAACTTCTCTAGAAGCAAGCTATAGTAGTTACCACTCATAAAAAAAGCAATATATAAAACTGACTGTTTGCACATTTAAAGGTTCAATTCTGGAACTAGTGTGGTTAAACAGCTCGTATTGAGCCTATTTTTCAAGACGGCTAGCTCAATATTTTAGCCAGAAAAATATAGGCTAAGCCTCGAGATTTTGATAATATATGTCTAAACCTTTATTTCTTCTAAGCAAAATTTTCAGGCTTGTGTAATATTTTTCTGGATAAAATATTGAGTTAGCCGTTTTTAAAAATCGACTCAAAACGAGCTGTATAACAACAATATCTGGTAAAACCAATCTATTCTAGACAGGTGACAAATTTTTTAATTTTTTTTTCGTCCGGTCATATGTTACTTTATTTGAATAGTAGCTGATATTAATGTTATCAAAAGGTAATGACATATAATTAATTTTTTCTAAAATAAAATCAATAAAGATGTAAATTATAAAAATAGAATTTACGAAAAGGGATAAGGGATAAAAAATTGAAATCTAGTGAATAGAAGGGAAGACGGGAGGCATAGACATGGAAGGTTATTCGATGGGAGAGATAAAACTTAGATAGATAGAGCGAATAATGGTGGAAGCAAGTCGTAGGAAGAGGGATTCCTTAGGGCTGATTGGTTTTTTCACTCGGTTTACCTATTTCTTTAAAAAAAAACGTTGAGCAGCTACTGAAGATGGTGAGAATGGAGCAAATGAATAAGAAAAAAAGACTATGATTTTTCGGGATTCTTTGAGGGGCATTGACTTTGTAGTTAGATGGTGTATTTGGGTCAATGCAGGAGAAGTTCCAAACCAGAAGCCAACACTTTTACCAAGGAATCAAGGACATTCCATCAGGACTTTTTCCATCGGTTCTAAATATTCCGGTTAATTCACTAAATGGAATTGCTGCGGATTTGAGGGCACGTAATATGATATCATTACATTTGGTCCCGTGAAAAACGGCCTCGACAAAAACGACAATGGAGTCAGTGTCTACCCTTGCGGTCGACGCTGGTTTTGCAATGTTTTGGTACGGACGAACAATTTCGCAATTGAGCCGTAGTCAAATAGCAAATTTTAACTTGTCAGCGGAGAGCAACAAATCGAGGTTGTTGGAGGGTATGGTTTCGAGAAACTCGTAACCGGGTACTTGGTTCAATTGGTGAAAAACTGTGAGATCGTCATCATGAAGGCTCGATTTTAGATAAGCGATGGAGCCTTCGTTGAGTGGAATATCCCAGTCTCTCTCTAAACTCGAAGAGGTTCGTGGAGTATTTGGACAACGGAATTATCTCAAATGGTCTAGGCTTCAGCTAATAAGCCGTCAAAAAAGTGAGAAAGCTGGCTAATGTGTGAGTCAGATGAAACACGGGAATCGATAAATCAGTTAATGGAAAGAGTTAGAGGTGATCGTAATACTATACCCCCGAGTATTTAAGAGATTCAAATCTCTGAAAATAAATGAACAAAAGTCATGTAATTTTCATTATTTTTAAGCAGCATAAAAGGCGAGATATTTTTTTTATGAAAAAAAAACTTTATTTCTGTCAAATGACTTCAATCATACTCAATTACATAAAACAATAAATTCGTATTGAAATATTTCAAGATAACTACATGTTTTCGGAATTCAATTAGGAATATTTATATTAATTTTTATATGAATTATTTTTTTTACAATACAGTAATTTACATTAAAGTTTGTATATTTATTTATTTTGAATTTTTTTGTTGTAATATAATATAGCCACTTTAAAAATCTTTTGTTTGTTCCGAAAGTCACACCTGTGGATCATTTGGACCCCTGGCCCTAAAATTATTCAAAACAAAAGGGCAAAGATTATGTTTAATCACAAAGTGATTCAAAAGAAAGTTTCTACCTACGACAAACAATATCAATCGAAATTTGTCGATCCAACTGTGAATCTATACATGGGTCATTAAGCCCCGCCAACCAAACCTAAATATATTTATTTTATTTTTAATTTCTCTTACTTTAATTATATATTTTTAAATATAATATAGATATAGAATGTTAATTATAATTTTAACATTCTCTTAATATGGTTTTTTTTCTAAACAAAAATAAAAAGATTATATAATTAATATATTTTTTTATAAAAAAAAATAAATTTTTTAAATGGAAGTATATAATATACTAAAGTCTGGATCACATCACGCCTTTACCTTATTATTCGGTAGTGCTATTAAAAGGCTCAACCTGGCCCGATAAATTTTAGCCAAAATAATGATATGTAAGCCTCGATATTTGACAATGCCCAATAGAGGTCCAAACCTTTCTGCCATGAGCAAAATATTCTGGCTACATAAAATTATTATGGCTAAATTTTTAATAGGGCCTTTTAACAACACTAGAGTAGCACGAACTTATATTCATTAAAAAATTATTTTTAATTATTTCATAAGTTTAAAAGTATTTAAATAATGTATAAATAAAAAGTCACACCAACCAATCAAATAATTTTTAGAAATATAGAGGGTAGGCGGTGTAGAAAAATTTTTTTAAGATAAAATGGGGAACGGACGACGGGTTAGAAAAATAACTGACGTATTTCAAGCTATATATATATATGATTTTTGGTTTTCTATGGTCATTTTATAATGTAGTACCTAACAAACAATGACAAAATTTTATTAAACTATTTGTTGTAATATTAAAGCCTACCTCATCGTTCTAAAGGCGAATTGAGAGTAAGCGTAATTATGTTCAAGCGGTGCGTTATTTACAAAATCAAGCCAATATTTTATGAAGCGTTTAGATGATAACGTTAGAATAAAATTTGAAAAAGATATGTGGCGATGCACTTATAAAATTAACCCGAAATTACATTATAAATTTTATTTTTCAAAAAGCAGAATATTATTTTTTATGTAAAAATTCTACAAACATACCCTGATAAAATGGCAATTTCTTCAAAAAAACACTCAATGATAATCATATTCATAACCCTGTAAACAGCCTTTTGGAATTGAAAAAGAGGTCTTATTATAAAACATCTTCCCCAAAGGTTGCAATAATATCCTTTGGGGATAATTTATAATTAAAACACTTCCTAAGTCTAAAATATATAACCTTATGACCACATAAAACATAACTTAGACAATTTTGACTCCTTCTACTTGATCCATTTCCTAATTTAAGACACAAAATAATGATTTCGATTCGGGCACGATCAAAATCTCGTTTTTCGTGAGGGGACCAGTAGGGTTATTATTTTAATTTGGGGCCACTAAATTCAGCGGAGCGTTAATATTTATAGCCACCGTAAGCGGATGAGTAGTGGATAAAAAAATATATCAGAGCGCATACCTCTAATTACAAATGCCCAATACAGGTATATCAAAAAAAAAGGTTGATTTAATCTATACTATAGAAATAGAGAGCCATAAAGTAGATACAAGAACCTAAGGCCGCATTCGTAGTGGATCCGATCCGACACGATTTAACAGCTGATCGATTTTTAAAATCTGTTTATGAGATCAATTTTTTTTTATTAATATTGATTTTGTCTTTAATTCTATACATGATAATAACCTAAGAAATATTGGTTTTAATAAGAAAAATTGATTCTCATAAATCGATTTTAAAAATCGATCAGCTGTTAAATCGTGTCGGATCGCACTATGAATGCGGCCTAAATGAGATTGAGAAACGTCGGAGAATTCGTAGAAAAAATTTTTCGTTCAATTTTAATAGGCACGATTGCATAAAAATTTGTTTTTTTCGGGGAATTATCTTCTACTTATTATTAATATATGGGCTTAGATATTTTAAATTAGGGGTGTATCGATACCACTTTTTGAAGGCCGATCCGATATTATATTGATAACGGCTGATTACCAATCCGATATCTTATCTAATTTTGTATTCTGTAAAGATAACAATAGTTTTAATTTTTAATATACTTTTTATGTATAACATCGATAAGTTAAATATACCATAATAACGTGTCATTCAAATATATTATAATGATCAGTTATAGTTTATATTCAATTCAATTGCAATTCTAAAAGTATATTAAATATTTTTATTGTATAATCATTTATTTATATAAGTAATAACATTAATCCAGTTACATAATAAGTAATAAACAAGCATACATTATAAAATTTGAAATAAATATTTAAATTTAATATTAAAGATTTCTTTTTAGAAATACCAATACATCAGAGATCAGTCTGCCAAGATGGGGATTGTAAATATTAGCTTCACTAAAAGCATATTCTGAAGAGATTATTGCACACTTTTATAAACAGAATGCGAAAAAATATAACAATATGGAAGTATGTTTATTAACTAATTTTACTAATAAAAAAATATCATAAAAATGGATTTGGATTTTATTTATAAAAATAAATGGTTTTTTAGATATAACTTTTTTAAAAATTTATTATTTAATTTTTGTTTAAAACGCCATTTTTTATTGCAGATCGGAAAATTTTATATTATTTGCCGATAAATATTTTATGGTTGAAATATCGGTACATCCTTATTTAAAATGATCATAAAAATTCATGATTTAAATAGACTTTAATATCTAATTGGAGCTCTCTAATCTATTAGAACAGTTATGGATTCCTTAATCGTCAAAAAACTTGCTGAAGAGTTAGATATTTTTTGGGATGGGCAGATGTTAATTTTAAAATTTATTAATTAATAAGGTCAGTCACTCAACTAAAAACTTTAAATATGTAATAAACACGTAAATTTTAACATTAACCATATGATAAAGAATAGTACGAATAGACATCATCATGTAAGTCAAGTTGATCAAAATTTATTTAAAAACTTTGACATCTAAAAAAGAAATCACTCAATCAAAAG